TGCGTCCGCATAAAAGAACACCTAGTCGGTAAATCTAAACTAAAACACAATACTCCACTAGGCGCGCATAGGATGCAAGAACACAACGGAGAAGATTTTGAGGTAGGAGTCACTATCCTTACGCAGGAATCGAAAACATCAGCGCGAAAAACTCTTGAAGCGTTTTGGATCAATGCCAAAAATTCAAAAATGAACCGCAAGGAGGAGTGTCTTGTCATCACGCGTGACCTAGCGCCATACCTCAGGCTGATCCAATGATCTGACATGGACCCAGTTATCGACCATGTATTACTCTGTGCGGCGGCTATCCACCAACTAACTTAAATACTTACAACAAATAAACGGTAGGTGTTTGAATGAAGCTGTTTCTTATGCGAATACAAATCGATTTATCAAGTTTTATCTGCTAGGGTTATGAAAGTGTTTGGCTGAGTAGATCGCATCTCAATTTGACCTTTCCAGGCTCTGAGGAAGGCGAAGCCGCCGAAACGTCAGCAATTGTGTTCTAATAAATTCTATATTAACAACCTCGTGTCTGCTTATTGATGAAAAACATTGAATTATCAAATCAGTGTTTTTATCCTCCTGGGCGAGGCTGGTAGCAGTTTCCCAACTCCTGTGGGAAGGAAGGCATGGCTGACTGCGCCTACTTTTTTTCATTAATAATAACAAGTCTAAAAATCTGCACAAATATGTTTGTATTATATCAGCGTGCAAAAGCAACACTAGTTAAATCTAGGTCTACTGAGGCTGGTTGGCGTATGTGCCGGGACCAACGGCAGCTGACAGAAATACTAAGAGTACAGCTTCTATTTCAACGAACTATTTATTTCAATCTCAGTTGTTTCCGAAAGAAATACAACGCTTCATTACACTCCGCGTCGAACCATGCTTGCCTCATCTTGAGTGTCCATAGGGCACAGACAGTGTTTCCAGTAAATAACTAAATCCGGCGAAAGTTACCTGGAATGTAGGAAGAACCAAAATTTTTGGAGTCTCCGAAGGTTCTTCGAGAAGCGAGCTGTATTGCGCAACAATAGGAAATGGATTACCACGGCCATAAGTGGAAAGGGAATTAGGAAGTTCACCTGGATTCCAAGTTTCGAACGAAAGTTAGGAAAATTTAGCGGTTTCGTTTCTCTTATTTCCATTTTTTACCCTTGTAGTGCTCCATGCGGATGGTCTTCAGTAACAACCGGAAGACTGAAGGACAGCAGGAACGGATCTGAAGAAGGCACAACCGCCGAACCACCAGCTACTGTGCGTCAATAAGGGCTGCAATAAAAGCTCCTATCCTCTCTTTAAGAAAAACTCTCTAATATTTCCAATTTGACGATGTTATCCACTGAGCACTATCTATAAACTTTTCTCGAAAGTGTTATAGGGATACCATTTGCCAAAAATTTCGAAGTTATAGAACGTTTATTCTCATCAATTATCACGAATTTTCTCTCGTCCGGTAAGAGTGTCTCTTCCACTTAGAACGTACATGAGTAAAACGAAAATTGTCTCTCATTCTCAAAATTTCGAGGAAAACCCTGACTGATTTTTTTTTGCTTTCAAATAATTCATTTTTTATCACAGGACAACTGAAAACACATGGGGAACCCATTGGATGAAATACTTCGCTTCTTAAAAATCATCACTGATGTACATAGTGCTGTGCTTCTGTGATTACTTTACGGCCTATTTAACGTCTTGCATTGTACAAGCATTTACTCTTGTCAACTATTGATTTTCCAGAATGATTCACACAGGGAAGTCTTTCGAAGTCTGCATGGAATTCAGTCTTCTTGCAAACGTTCCCGTTACAGGTGTAATTCCAACGAAAGGAATTGGGAGCTGACTGAATCACATTTCTTCAAAAATAAATAACTTGATAAAATGCACTTCTCCAAAACCAGAGACAGATTATCTCACAACTACGTGTAAGGGTTATATTTAACCACTTAGGTAACACTTGGATACTTGGATGACACGTTTTCACTGGGTGTGCGGACCCCAGCATAATTTCCATTGTTTCGGAGTTATGCTGGTCTAACCATTGTGGTTTCTTGGAGTCCCGAGGTCAGCCAGACGAGTTGTCCGTCCGAAGTCGTTACAGCCACAGGTCTTTTGCGTTTGTGGGTCAGAGGGAGATTCACCGCCATGCGACTGGTTTGATAACAGGATGGTGGTGGATCCCAGTATTGATTTACTCTTTAGTGAGCTTCCTGATGGAAACGCAGGACCGCTCCTCAGCTTGGAAGACCCTGCCGCGGTGTTAACACTCCCGCTTTACATCGTAGTCTGACATCCTGGAACACCTCTTTGCCACGGTGAAGCGGAAAACCGTTGGGAGTAGGGAATTAGAGTGGGTTAGGGACTACCAGAGTTAGGTGGTAGCGATTAAAAATGTGAAAATTAGATTGTTCCGTGGAAATAGTTAATGAATGAATAAATAACGCATTTCAACTGCTCTGGAAATTAAATAGAAAAAATCAATTACCACAATTTTATAAAAGCAATCTACAAAATCGACCAGTCTCACAGTCATACGCGTATTGCTAGCGCTTTCTCATCACTTTTTTAGGATTAGTGGCGAAAATCGAGAAGCTTTCTTCCATTGTTGAATCGTCTTGGGCGAATGATTCAGTAGGTCGACGACCTCCTATAATGCACGACGTTAATTATGACTAATTGCGTAGGAAAAGAAGGTGGTGGAAAGGAGAAGCAACTAAACAATGGTTTTGCAAGTGTGTCTTTTAATACTATGTATTTGTACACATCACCCGTTACCCGTACCACCTGCAGTCACATTGATCATCGAGTGACTCGAACGAGCGCCAGTAAATCCTCCATTTTTCTCTGTCGCGTGCAAGAGTACCCCAGTGGGTTCTGCTCGCTCTAGGGACTCATCGAGCATCATATCCTTCATCAAAGCTCTTTGTGAAGAACTCTGAACATCGGGACGGTAGCCTTCCTGCGGAGCGTTTGACATCCCGAGGAATCCAGTCACTAACGGCTCTTGTCCATCGGTTGTCATTCGTACGCATTACGTGTCCGGCTCACCTTATCTTCGACTATTTGGCGTACAAAACGGCATCTTTGATTTTTGATCGTTGACGCAGATCGGAGCTTCGGATCCCATCTTATACTTGTGTGGAACGGGATACTCCTAGCATCGTCCTTTCGCCTGCGCGTTCGATAACGCTGAGTGACCTTTCATACTGCTTGCGCCGCGACCAGGTTTCCGACGCATGCGTTAGGGCAGGAAGTACCGTCAAGTCGAGAAGGTAGGCACGGAGTCGGGTGTTCTTTGTTTTGTCCTCTTCACTACATCCTCGTTACTCTTGAAAGCTCCGCAAGCTGCTCGATTCCTTCTGCTTAGCTCAGGAGCTAGGTCGTTCATTATACTGATTTCCCGACCAAGCTAGGACATTCGGTGATATTCGCTCCGTTGAGCGTGAATGAAGCATGCGAAACCAATCCATTCTTTATAAACATCGTTTTTGTGAGATTTAGTCGAAACCAGTCTTTCTACAGGAGTTATCAAAGTCGGCGAGCCTTCATTCCACTTGGCTAATGTTTAGTGTTATAAGGACGATGTCATCAGCAAAGCGAAGATGGTGTAACTGCCGAACATCGATTTTCACTCCCATATTATCCCATTCCAATGTTCGTATGACTTTCTGGAGTGTGGCGGTAAATAATTTTGGCGAGATGGTATCACCTTGCCTAAATCCTCTTGACCTCAATGTTAATATCGTTATAGAACGGTGATACCTTGGTTGCCAAATTTTTGTAAGCTCACGAAGAATCTTTATGTACTGACTAGGGACTCCTTGACTACCAAGGGCTTCCAAGACTGCTTCTTTCTTATCTGAATCAGAGGCCTGTAAACCGATGAAAGTGAGACAAAGCGGTCTTTTGTATTCTCGCGCTACTTCAATGAGCCGGGTTACCGTGCCCATTGTGGTCCATCGTACTAAATACTTTTGGAAACCCTGCTTGCTCACATGGCTGTCCTTCGTCCAGTGTTCTGTCAATCCTGTTTCCGATGACTGGAGTGAAAAGTTTATGGACGAGAGACACAGAGAGTAAGCAGATTGGGCGATAGTTGTCGATATCGTGTAGGTCACCCTTCTTAAACAATAATACGGTCTTGCTGGTCTTCCATTGAGTAAGGACCTTGCATTCAGATAGGTAACGTGTGAAGAGTCGAGCCAGTCTGTTTACGAGGACTGGCGGAAGGTTCTTCAGGTGTTCTGCTCTTATCCTGTCCAGACCTGGTGGCACTGTTCGATTTTCCACCGACGAAATGGCATGTCGGATTTCGGAAGGGAGAACCGGTGGTACAACATATCCAACCTCCTTTAGTTCATATGACGGAAGGTGGACGTGGGTGTCGAAAAATTCCGAGTAGTATTCATGATTGATTTTCTTCATTGCCTTTTTGGACGCTGTAACTGTTCCGTCTGGGCGCCAGAGTGCAATAACTTTGGCCGTGTAATTGGCGAAGCTTCGGTGGGCTTTGCGAATGCTTTTCTCAGCCTCTGCAGCTCCGACCATTACTGCAGCTAGATTTCATAAATTGTGGTGCTACTCTTGAAGTTATTTCGAAGTTTGTCTCATCGGATTTTAGTTCAGTTTCTAAACTATCTTCAAACCTACTTTTTCCTTAGATTAAAGGATATCAATGGGAAAAGCTATGAAAAATGTTGGCCAAGATTATGTGTTAGAAATCTGTACCTCCGAATTCCCCTCCTCTAAAGCCTACACTCTTTAAGGAGGTGAATGGTTGAGAATCAATCCTTTGTGATGGTACTTCTCTGTTTCCCAGCATTATTCCTAAAATATGATCATAGTCTCCTTTGAGAAGCAAAATAAGTGGAAGCATAAAATATGTTAGTAGTACTGCAAATGACTGTTCGTTTTCCCAACTTCTATACTGATACAAAAAAGGCAACCTACCGGAATCTTCAAAGAATGTTGATTTCACCTCTGATCTGCCTCTTTCATAACCGGCATTATCGTTAATTCCTAGAAGTTTGCTATTGAACAAATAGGCCATAGTGCAGAGATGGCTAAAAAATAATAAGCGTATTCATAAACACCTTGCTTCTCCATCTGCATTGCTGCCACTGGTGGTTGTAGTTGAGATTTTTGTGAGCTGAATGCACTAGTGATGAAGGGAAGAACTACTTCATCGCTCTTCATTGTAGGATAAAATGGCGTACTAGCGATTGACTGTGCTGCAGTGTTGATCTCAGAGGACGACACTCTAGATAATCTTGAAGAAAGTGCCTCTATAAAAATGTTTTCTTCAGTGAAAGCATTCGCAGAGAACAAATTCTTGACGAATACAAACTGACCTTTACGTGGTTCTAATGAGTAATATGGAAGCGTAGAGAGCGATTGAGGGAATGAAGGTGGCGTAGGCAAAGATTCCTTATAACCAGTGAGTGGAGCTGTGAAGTATGGAACAACAGTAGAATGGCTAAAATCAAACGAGGCCTTCGCTAGCTGTGTATGGGTGTTTCTTGACGCTTTAGCGGCTTGTTCAGCTAAAGGTACAGATGCGACTCGAGCAAATGCCTGTGGGTAAGCATGACGACGATGTGTAACTTGCGACGTTTGTGGTAGCACAGAATACAGATTTGGATAAGGCGGGATACGCTGAAACTAAAAATTAGTATAGCAAAGTTGAATGATTTAGTTAATGAGAAGGAAAACATACATTTGCTCCTTCACTTGCGTTGTATTTGAGATTTTCCTTGATCTGTACGATCTTCGCGGCAAAAGCTTTTTGGCGCTCCTAAAAATAAGGAAATGATATTATTATGCAGTCGCTGGCACCTCAGATGACCATTCTTATCAAATATATTATGTGGAAAGTGGGGTGACGTTTTCCTTCCGACAATAAGAAGGTTAATGTCAATAAATAACGAAATTTCTCATTAAGAACTGCTAAAACATATCGATTTCCTTAAGAACGTTTACTTTCTCCCTCGACTTTTTCTTGATATCAGTTCGCTTTTTTCTTGAAATCCATTATACAAATTCGTTAACAAATCTTATTTTCCACCTTCATGAACCCGTCAATGTGTGAAGCGGAATGCGAGAGAAGAAAACATGAAACTTGGGTCCATCAAAAACTTCAACAACCTCTCTATCTTTCTGTAGAGAACCAGGATTAAGGATCTCTCGTGCGAGCTGAGTTCCATATCCAATTATTGAATTCTCTCCCTCTGAGTGAGCCAAAATATCTGGAGAATCAAAAAGCTTTTCTAAGATTTTTAGCATGATTTGAAATCTGTTTACCTCTTCCTGGTGGTTCGAATGTTGTCACACCTGCTGCCTGTAATATTATTACACATTGTCTGTTATTTTATACTTTACTTCATACAATTTTCAAAGTAAGCGCACCTTTATCGCAGCATTGCGGGAGCGAAGAAGTGGTGCGATGATCGGACCAATGTTATCGATTATCTTGGCAATAGGAGTGATGACGTTAGCCAATTTAGCTTCGGACTTAGTACTCCTAGCAGTCTAAAGGATTTTATTGTTTTATAGTCATTAAAGATGGAATAGTATTGTCGGTTGAATACTGTTATATACACTGCCTCGATGTGGTCATCTGATGTATAAAATCATCATTTTCTTTCAGCCACAAAGAAAAGTTTGGTACTAATATGTGGTCCGATCAAAAGATGAATAACAACGCAACTGTTGTGGATTGCGGGGGAGGGGGAAGGGGTAGCGCAGCGGTTAGTGGAGCAATATATCAAGAAGCAGGGTACTGTGGAGCTGGCTTTCCTCTACCCAGAGGCCTTTTCGAACCCACGTGGGAACGTGTTGGCTCGGCTATCTCCAAGATTATAAGGAGAATCGACTCGATGACATTCGTAAAGATGACGGAATCCTCAAGCAGCAGCGTAACTGCTCGCGAAATTTTCAAAGACCGTTGTGGATAGTGGATGCAAATAAAACGAGAATACAATAAGTGCTCCGCGCAGTGGATGTGTCTTGTACTCTATTTCTCAAGCATCGTAGAGATGAGTGAATGCATATCTCTCTTATACACTGCCTCGATGTGGTCATCTGATGTATAAAATCATTGTCTTTTAGCCACAAAGAAAAGTTTGGTACTAATATGTGGTCCGCTGTAATCCGCTAAGAGTTGGAAGGCATGGTTTGCCTTGCCGAGGGATGGAACCGAAGACCCTGTTGCCTAGCAAGGACACCTGCAAACACCATCCCACAGGTAGTTCTTTCGTAGATATAAAAAATAAAATAGGGATCATGTGCAAATACCGCTAACGAGAACCTAGCAAGATGCCAGAGTGTAGCATGGGCGCTTTTGGACGACGTAAAAATGCCACTGCATCTATCAGTCTTAATTCTAGCATTGATCTGTCCTGTCGTAACGCTTCTCTTTGATCTGCAACATGGTGGGGAAGTGTGACCAAATACTCCGGCCACTTCAAAATCTTCTCATAAAATCTACAAAGCTTTAATAGAAATTTGAAGTTTTCCACCAACAATTAACCTGGGCTTTGTCACACAAACGTTCGAGGACACGCCTATGGAGATCAGCTGAAAACGAATAAAAAGTACTCCATCGGTGGTAAATTAGACTACTAAGAGAAAAAGTAACTGTCATCGAGAAGGATTTTAGAAGTGTAAAACGACCTCTAAGAAAACCACAGAGGAATGGATGGTGTATTCCCCGAGTCGAAGGGAAGCCAATCACCTCACTGAATGGCTTTAATTTCGGATCCGAGAGCGGAGCGCATAATTAAGTGAGCCAATGAATTTTTCGGGGTTAATCTGACAAGAAATCCTATTCAAGCACCTACTTAACTCCAGGGCTTAATTAAGCTCTTAAAAGTTGTTTCCTAGAAAAACATCCATAATATTGTTAACAACGAACTTACTTCGGATTTGTGCACTGTCGCACTTCTATTTGATAATTCCGCTGCTATTATAGAAGATGCGTTGTTCACAGTTTCCACTGAAATATACTTCTAAAGTTCATTTCAATTTCAAACAATGCGTTCATTTTACTGCGTTTCTTTATCAAAATTCGCATTCCGTATCTCGCATCGAACCATAATTGCGGGAATACTTACCAGTGTTCTTCTCTTCGAACATCGAGATTTGTTTGAGAGCCGCAGCTCCTCCTTCATCACTGGTTAGTGTGCTCCTCACCCCTGCTGTTGATTTTGCCGTAGTTGTTGCCTTCGTTGATATAACACTATCAGTCACCGAAGTTCTTTGAATGGACGAAGATCTGGTGCTAGTTGCCTCCTCTATTCCCATCGTTGGTGCAAAAGTACTATTGCGATTTAGGTCCAGATCGGCGACTAGCTTTTCAACTAAATTTTGCTTTTTACTGCAAGAAAAAATGTTCGTGCTGCAATAGTTTTCAGATATCCATAGAACTAAATTCAATAAATCTTCTCCTAAAAATAGCAATAGACCAGCTTTTGCAACCTATGTTTGCAAATCGTGGTGCTATCAGTACTAAGTAATTTTCTTGAACAATTAATATGGTCACCTGTGTCAACTATGCCACAAGCAGTCTAGCATGACAATCGGCCCTATAAAAATGTTCCACTGCCCTTTTCACATGTCTTAGTTGATCAGTGAGCTGGGTTGACGCAACAGGCAAGAAGGGTAACTCGTTTTTTCACCAGTCTTCAATTTCTAATCGATGCTGCTATCCACGGAAGGTTCCAAGGTATACATAGAAAAACGTAGAACATATTTGTTAGAGGTTAACCCGGCTTTTCATTTACTTGTCAGTCGTTTGAGTAGAATGTTTTCAACAGCTCAACGTGTAGCAAAAAGCTCGTACGCACCCAAAGCATACCAAACTACATGTGCAAACAAGAATACGATTGTGTGAAAACGGGAGGTATAAATCAAGATGGCGCTGCGGGTACAAAGAACATACCCCTTAATCAGTAGTCAATAAGTAACCTGCTGATTCTTGTTTGATAAATATAGATAACTGTAAAATTTGTTGGGCCAAAAAAAGTCTGCTACTTATTTTTAAACTTCGTGAAAGCGAACTGTTCAATTGGCACGGACACTGATAAATCTAAGACATTTTATTTAATGGCTCACCAATATTCTGTGTTATTGCCCAGATTTCGACAGTTGTTTGCTATTTAGGGGTGTGATTTAATTATAACGGAGTAAAATCTTAATTATTATCGTATAAATTTGCCCATACTTTTATTCCGTTTATTAACCAACCTCGTTTTTGCAAAAGAGCCAAGAGTTTTGTCCTGATGTGTTCTTGCAGTCGTTTGATTTCATTGGTATCTAACAAGTCCTCTGCTTTCTTGACATTTAAGTGTGTTTCATTCAGTAATGACACCTTGAAAAATTCAATGATTTACCACGTTATAAAATAAACTTCTTACTAGAAGCACCTCATTAGATTCTGTTGCTTTTAGGATTTTGGGAGCGTCCGATGGTGGATAGTCCGCTGATACCGCATTTTGTGAATGTTTGCTGTTGTCTTCAAAAAGGCCGTTATTAAAATCCACTTTTTTGGAACTCTTTCTAAGCAAGTGGGATTCACTATCTACATGAATTGAATTTTCGCTCTCTAAATTTTTCTCAGGCTCAATGGTAATATTCAGTGCCAATTTCGATGGAAACACAGCACTGGTATCGGATTGAGGCGATGGTGGCGTAAAAAGTGTATTTTGAGTTTGTTGTAGTTCACTTGCTATGTTCTGGCCTTTGTCAACTTTCACCCTAGATCTTTCGACTGCACTTTGTTTTCCAAGCATTTCCTCTTGTTCTTTAACGGTGCTGCTCAGAATGGATAGGACTTTCGACTCAATCTTCTCGATTTTATCATAGCCATTTTTCGCTTTTGTGTGAATAGAAACTTTGAGTTGTTGATCTCTCGGCATATTATCAGTCTGTCGTTCCCTTTCCGTTGGAACTACTGTTGAGGTAGTTTCCGTTAAAATTGCAGATGTTGTGGCCTGTAAACACAGAATGTGTTTCGAAGTCTAAACTTTTCAATGATAGCGAATGTAATGCTATACATATTCGCAATTGCTCCAGAAAACTCTAGAGAAGAATGGTTACCGTGCTATTGGATAATGAGGCAGCAGAATCACTACTTTGGTTATCATTGGGATTCGCCAAATCGTGGTTCGCAATCTCCTCTTGATGCTTACTTTCTCGTTCCTTCCTCTCCATTTTCAAAAGTACCAGTTTTGTAAGATATTCGCTCTCCAATTTCGCCTGAAAGTTTTTAATGTGCCTTTAAAATTGATTACACATATTCTGCCGATAGAAAAGCACCTTTAAAAAGAATGAATACTTGCTTCAATTCTAAAATAATTGTAACCTTATTAGGTCTCCTAATCTGACATTTCTTATGAAATCTTTAACTAAACTAATGCTCAGTTGCAACCATTTCTTTGTCTTTGAAAAGATGAGAAAGTATGTGAGGCCAGCAAGCGAAAATGGCAGGTGTTTCCATGTGCTTCGAAGCATCAAAAACTTTATACCAATGCTAGAAGTACCTTGTCGAGGAAAGAGGAATTAAAGTATCACTTCATCGTATTCCTTTATTTTAAAATTTTTAAAATGGCACATCGTTGAAATCACTAGATTGTGACCACCCTGCAGTCAATTCAATCGTTTAATTCCAAGTCTTAGGCAGAGCGTGGCTGCTTAGGACTGGCAAATCCAAAACCAGTCCATTTCCAATTTCGGATTATGAAAACGCTTGGGACAAAGGAACATTTGAGGACCTTGGAAATAATGAGTCGGTGTAATCTCGTGACAATATGTACTATTGTACCGTTTCCAAAGAACTGGTGCGCGGCTGTTTTCAGCTTTCGGCTAATTTTGACAGAAACCTTGTGTTTGCTCACCGAGAAAACAGTGAATTACTTACCAATGAGGAAGTCAAAAAAAAATCGAAAAACTCACGCAGAGTGAAGTTGTTAAAACCTTAGTGGAATGATGACAGAACAACATTTACTAATGATTTTTCTGTATATATGGTCAAAAACTCGCCAATTCGGAGCTGTCGAGCTCGAACTCCTTCGTGTCCTCTTCAGACCACTTCGCTTTCTTGGCATGTGGTTTCTTCCATTGAGTGGACCTTTGTGTTGCTATTGGCTTCTGAGTTGCGTTGGTTTCAGCAGCGATACTTCTGGTTCGTGTAGCGTTCGTAGTAGCTGTGGTAGTAATAACTGACGTTTCTTCTGTTGGTGTAGTTTTTGTCGTTGTTGTTGCTGTTGTTGGCAGAGTGGTTGTAGTGAAAGGAGACTGACCCTTGATTCTACAAATCTCTTCATAAAACTGCACTTGTGCCCAAATTACACTAGATATTTGTAAATCTTTTTAATACTCTTACATCAACAATAGCTCATCCTTATTTATTAAGTTAAGCGCAAATTTGGCGGAACAATCGTGAGTTACAGTTAGCAGATTCGCAGCGAAGCTCGCCTACCAGATTTAAATTGAAACCCTTGAAAAAATGATAACAACATTAAAGTTTTTAAAATTTCCAACAGAAGAACGGCAGTTGCAAACATAATAGCGGTTAACTGGGGACAAGCATGTTATCCTATCGGATGTATTCCTGTATGCTCATTTGGTTCCGTGTTTGAACCGTTAGCCTTTAAAAAATGAATAAATTGGAAGGAGTGCATGCGATAAGCTCCAGAAAAAATTAATCGTCGTAAAATAAAAGAACTTTTGTGAGCAGCCATTACTTCAACATATTATGATTCGCATAGAGGCCATGTCATGGATAATGTATCAAACAAAGAATGCAATTATGAATGTTAGCAAACAAAAAATGAGCTGTGTTCGTGGCCATTGCTAACTATGATAAATAAGAAGGGAAAAGAAGAATTTTCCTTTATGATGTCCCCTTATAAAGAGTCTTGAACTTCTTTACCGTTTAAGATACAAATTGGACGACTTCATTGAGAAAATATAAAATCGCCTCTTTTAAACAGTCCAATGATCAGCTACTATGGAGATAGCGTGGAAATATTCATTGTAGATATGGAAAGAAACTCCAACCAGAGTGCTCTCTGTGGCCACATCTTCACGATTAGTATGTGTACCAACACATCTTCCAACCGTGTTTTTCTCACTCAACCGCAGACCATGGTAGATAGTTAGCGACATCCGTGAGGCTTATTCTGTTACCCAAAAACTGTTTACTGATGCGAATGCATCTGGTCGACAATAGCCATCAACACAGCCTACCTCGTGTGGTCGCTCAGACGACTTTAGTATGAACGCTGAGGCCAATCTATAGTTCTACAGATCTGTCTGTTCTTTTTTTCCTTTTTTTATATGATTGGTCCACCCATGTTTTTTTATCAACATATTCTCGTAGACTTCGAAGAATCCGGCCAGACGCTGTGAGCTGAGAGAATTGAGATTTTAGAAGGAACTGCTCAAACACTCCTTAATTGATGTTTTCGACGTTGCTGAAATGTCAACCAGCGTCCCTGTTGCATGACAAAGCACTGGAAGGGTTGCCGAATCGACAAGCTGTACGCAGTTTTACCCCTTAGACTCCTTAATCGTGGAGTGGGTTTTCTGAGAAGCGGGAAAGTAGTTCATGTTGCTTTCTCTCTTTTATCTAACCTCTCCTTCATGTCAATGTCTATTTTCACTAAACGGGCTGGAAACACGTACGAGGCGGTTCCTCTAGTCAGAGATCCATCCAGTTCGATTTGCTAACCTTTGCAGCATTTGTTCTTTATGTAGTAGTTCTTCATCCTAGTTAAGCGTCCTCGAATCTCTTTTCCAGCTTCGTTGGGCTCATTGAGCATCGTCTCTGCTTCATCAGTGCTCTTCGGGAAAATGCCAATGTCATCAGCAAGAGGAAGGTTTAACAGGAAGTTGTCATTAACTCTCATGCCCTGCTCATCCAAGATGAATAACTTCACTAATCACACTAATGTGATAATTCCGAGATGGCGACGTTTTGTCGGCCCTTATTTTCAATGGGGATTATAAAGCAGCGATTGGAAAACTGTATTTTCGTGGTGCGATAACATACAGTTACAAATAATCTGTTAGAGTTCGTACGCATGAAGTGTCCACACCTGGGTCTGCGAACGCAGAAAGGAATGCATTTGTTCCAAGGCTTCATGGGCTCTTTTGCAGTTAAAAAAGGTTAAGACCGAAGTATTCTCAACCGACTTATCTAAACCGGGATACCGTTTGAATGTCGTTCATGTAGCAGAATTTTTGTCGGAATCCTTACTTGCTCAATTGGTTATGCCACATTCGAACTTCTTGACATCCATACTATCACAAACAACGTAAAGACTTGTTGTTAGACCGCACTCAATAAGCAAATTGGAGGGTGATTTTAGCTTATTATTTACTGCCTACTCTTTTCAATGGCAGGATATATTGCAAAATAAAGTTCAATGAAACTGATATATTTGCAAAACTACGGACCACAGGTGTCTGCGTGGGGAACGAATGCTAAATAATAAGCTAAAATTGTGATTATAACTATAGCCTCAGCTTAGCTACTTTCGTTGCCTATTTTGGTTCCCAAGACCAATCCTATTGGCGGGTGATTGGCTCTCATCGATAGAAGTAGCTGAGAGGTAGGCAAAACGAAAAATCCGCATGGTGTGGTGGTGAGCGCCTTACTCTCCGGAAAGGACAATAGCGTGTTCGTTTCCCACCACAGACACCTGCAGTCCGGAGTTTTGCAAATATCTCAGCATTATTGAAATTGGAGGATAGTTACCAGAAGCGGTCACCGTTCTTAGTCAAGATGACAGAATGCGTAGTCGTTCACTGGTCTGACATTTCTTCCACATAAGTAGGATATAACATGCATTGGGAGAAGTAAATTATTTTGTGACTTTCTGTTTGAAGAAAGTCAGCTGTAATAATATTTGCTCGTGGTCCTGTGCTTCTGTTCATGCACACTCACACACATCGAGCTTCAGAGGGTACAATCGCAAGTGGTTTTCCCTAAGAGGGATGTATGAACGCGAGGTCAGTATTGTAGAAAAAGATTGCTTTTTTTGAGCAACTCTTTAATGGTAGTCGAGATCTGCACTTATTGTCTGAATGGCTGAGACGATTAATTACCTTGATAAGCAGTTTCTCCTCTCCGGTTGGGTTGTTTGATGACCTTCATGACATTCATTTCCTTCGAAATAAACAGCCTAATAGAATCTTTGAAGAAAGCGGTAGTCACCCTCAGCGCAGAGTGATAGAACTGTGGAGGTGTCAAAGAATCACCACCTTTTGCTGCGGATAATGTGATCCAAATCCGCACGACTGGTTTACTCGAGAGCTTCCATGTCCAGCCTTGGCACTCTTTCTTCTCGAAGAAAGGACTTTTACGGTAAGAAGGTGCACTCAGCAGGAGTATTGCAAAATGATGTTCTTCTTAGCTTCGTTCTCTTATTCCAAATTTCTAGAACTCTTGAACGATGTCTTCTGAAGTATAACCCCGCACCCTCAATATCTAGTCGGAGTGCGAAGCTCTGATCTTAGAAACCTGTCACGTCTTCTGGATCCAGAAGAATATAGATAGATAGCGAAACATAGATGGGCCGGTCACATAATGTGAAGAACAGGTGACAGATGGACGAAAAGAACAGTAGAGTGGACTCCACGAGAATGCAGACGTCCCATAGGACGGCCACCTACACGTTGGGAGGACGCGTTCGTAAACAAAGTTAATCAACTGTTCCCGCAGCTGCATTGATCACGGTATGAGACTCACGCACATCACCATGCTCGAACAAAACCACCAGACGATTGTATCTAAGTATTCCAAGTTTCCCGATCCTGTATTCATTTACGTTGACCTTTCCTGATTAGGAATTGAACTCTCCAACAGCAAATTTATAAAAGTACTTTTCGATGCGGGTTAGTTCTTCGAATTGATTATAGAACGAATCTAATTCATTCCCACCACTTGAACAGCTTGGTAGTAAATCTGAAAGTTCTCATGACGACGGGCTATATTTGTATAGTTATGAAAGTCATGAAATTATTGCAAGAGTGAGGGATACCGACACATCTCAACTGCATCGATTTGAAAACTTGTTTGGATGCAATTGCTTCGAAAATATTTTAAAAAATTGGAGTAAGCTCTACTTTTTCGGCATTCAGGAGACTATGAGAAACTTCCTAATCTTATTTTCAATACACTGGTTTACTACAACATGGGAGTTAAATCCATCAACAGCAGAGCCACTATTTTTGCTTTACTGATAGAATTGCTCTCATAACATCAATTAGTAAGCAGATAGAAGTGAAGCTGGTCGGTTTCTCTGAAGCGCAATCTTCTACGATTGTGTACTTCACAATTGTTCACTATATAGCTGTGGTAGAGAAGTCCCTAGGCGTTGAAAGGCAAGCATTAGGTGACTATGCTATTGATATCACTAAATTGGAAACGTATTCGTCATTTACATCCAGGGTTTAGTTGGGAGTAAACTGGTACCAAGAACTGACACCATCGTAGAGGACCCTAATCTTACGATGACAAACATTCACCCAGTGTATAATGGCTAGAGGCTGTCTGTGGAGACGATTTTGGTATATCTCATGGAACGACAATCTTGGGATCTAGAGAAAACTTAACGGAAATTTTCAGAAAATTTCAATCATTTGCAATGCCTAAAAGCTGCTGGACTACGTTTGACACTCGTTTGAACTATGAACGTCTATTAAGCCCCATTAACTTCTGAATTACTGTGTAAGCTCACAACAGGAAGACCATCGGCATAAAAATCCGGCATTTCTTTGAAGAGTGTGAACCGCAAATATTAATGTCTTAGAATTTCTTGAACAACAATTAGAACGAAGGAGAACGTACAGGGCAATTTTGCCGTACATCTTGGACTAACGGTAACGTTGCTGGTCCCCGGTTAAATCACTCGATATTTAATAAAAAGGCAAGTGGTGCGTCAGCGGAATTGATAGCACGGATATTGGAGTCTCATTCAGTGATAATTTTGTTTACAATTATGAATGTCAATGGCAGTAATCGTTCACCATTTGTTCGCTGATCTTTGAGAAAATGATTCGTTCCTGTTATTCCTGCACACGTTTGTTGCGACAGTGTTCACAGCTAGCCCATGAATTAGTCATTGTTTGTTTAAAAAAAACTTGAAGGTTTTCTCCAAGTGAACAAAGACAGAGAGAAAAAAATTTGGTTCACCTGGGCAAAACGAGATAAAGTAGCCTTTGGTTAATTATATTGTCACCATTGTTCCTCGTAAGCAAAATTTTCTCGATATCTTCCCTTTTAATATGAGGAGGTATGGTGAAATCATTCGGATTAGGAGGTGTTACGCTGAAAATTTTTACAATAAAACAGGAAAATTATCTAGCACAAGATTAATCTACAGAGCTGGATATTTTCTTCATCATCCACACTTATTTAAAGCATCGAATTACCCTCTGAAATAAAACAAAGGGTTAAATTGCCTTAAAATCTCTTGTTTATCGAGTTACTCTGGATCTAAAACTTCTACTTAAAATAAAATCGATCACTATCCTGGTCGGTAATTATTGTGTAATTACGGATTTTTCCCGATTACAACTCCACTGGGGGTGTTTTTGTTACCAAATATTCTGTTCAAAGAATTTTTTTAAACAAGTTCTTAATCTTTGCATTCACACTGTTAAGTTTTCGGAAATGCCACATCATTTTAAAACTCTTCCTGAAAGTTAGAGCTTTAACTCATTATAAAGTTTATTAGAATGAATAAAAAATATTCCAATGGGGACATTTCCGTCAACATGCTCCACTTGAGTTATATCACAGCTGCAAAATTCTACAATCTTCTGAAGCCCGCCAGGGTTTTGAATGCGTTTTTGACATCGGATTAGCTGCTAAGGTTTTGTTTCATGTGTTGGTTGCGCCAGGTGTATTTGCAGATTTTGGTGAGCTTTGCCGCCTTTCTTACACGTCCAAGGCAACTAGTCGTTTTCAAAAGTTATCGGCTGAAAACTATAGACATCAGTACCAAACTATTGAAACGAAATAAATAGGGAATATTAGGCACTAACATTGATTAGTGCATGGACACCAATTAGGTTGCTCGAAAACACCCAAAATCACGCCGAGCAGCTAAATTTGTAAGGCTTGGAAGAGTTATAATAGGATATTAGTACCCCTAGCCTAGCATAAATAAAGAGCTTTCGGCGTTCACCAATCCCTTAGGGATGCGCCATGCATTCGACTTCATTAAGCACCGTTTGGGGGTGACTGAATGCATATCTGGGTTATACAATGACTTCGCGGTGGCCTACTGATGTATCGAGCCAATGTTGCTATCTTCCCAGGCAGGTCTGGTATCAATTTGCCGACCCCGGAATGATGGAAGGCTTGGCGAGCCACGGGCGCTAGTATCGATACCATATGTGTGTTGCCAAACGCGCCCCTGGCTCAGCATGGTTATCGCAAATCTCTCCACCCAAAGGCTAATTTTTCTCCCGCCTCTGCAAGCATTTTCTGGACTAGTCTCTAACAAGGGAGCTGGTAATGAAAATGCCTCTAAAGTACCCCAATTCCTGAAGCTAAGAATTTTATGCAATGAACAATTACATTTGTGAAGTGTTGTTAGAAATCTGTAGAATTGGACGGTTTTCACTTAAATTAATAATGCCTTTTATAAGTACTGCTGTAATGAACTGGATTAGCTCAGCTGTTTAAAATGTTAGCAACAGAGTCTCATTTTCGAAACACCCAAAAATTTATTTCCATGCTGAGATAAAGGTAAAGCGAGGTTCTCGATTGGTATAGTACAAAGCACGTGACCGCAGAGGGGGCAATCGCGAATTCGAAGCACAACTGAGGTTCCCAGTTTTGCTCATATCTCAACATTGTTGTGGTTGCATTAAATGTCACCTCTTGTGCTGAGGATTTCATGGAGGGAAACTCTGTCTGCTAGTCGCGAAGCAACGTGTGCGTTCCCACGTGGCGGATGGGGGTTAATCGCGGAACCAAAAGCAGCCTTTCTTCCCTGGCAAGAAAGTGGATTCAGGGGATGGACTACCCTTTCCTGATGCACCAATTTCTCACACACCTTCTGTGCTTGCGAGTGTGTACTCACGTGTGGGTGCTTGGGTAGGTTCTTGTTTATGTGCATTGTATTCGATGAGTTAATTCGACAAAACCCTGCAATCATGTGTCAAAAAATTATGTGGGAGGTGGTTAGGAGTCGCCTCTAACAAATAAGTTCCCTGTATACTATGGAAAAAAGGCAGGCTGCTCGTTACTACAGCCAGCCACAATATTCAACCCTCGGTATGCTATACGCATGTATCAAAACGCTAAATGCAGTATATTAAGTGGGCCTCATTCTCTTGACCCAAAAAGAGCTCCGGTACTCTGCAGAGTTAGATAGGACGATTGCGGAGAGACTGATGAAATCTCAGGACCTTTCCAGGCCGCTTACGTGTCGAAGGACTGAGGCACGATCTCTACCTAAAATGCATGCTCACTTGAATCTGAGTTGTTGTTAGAAAACTTGGTGATGCAAGCAAGATTGATAAGGTGTGACGTCATCGGACTGGGAAGAATACGCGACGTCTTCAAAGCTGGCATGACACCGAAGAGAAATGCTTCTGGAAGCACGCAACGACGGAAAAAGCTGCCTCGTCGGAATTTTCGTCGACACGAGTTTGGTCATGAATATCAACTCATCTGAACAGCTACTAGGATAGAACGTCGACAGCCGAACAGATGTGAATCAAAACCTGCTTTAATAATCTTCGTCGACCACGCACCTATATCAAGTCATGACAAAGACAAAGTCGAAGAGTTATTTATAGAGGACTTGGAAAAATTCTACAGAGGGAACGATGCTTCCCTCAAGGTCACTGCTCAAGATTTTAATGCCAAGATTGGACCAAGAAGAAGGTCTGAAGAACGTCACATTGGAACCCACAGACTAAAATTGAACGAGAATGGTGGGCGGCTGTCCGAGTTTATCATGACGAACAAGACCATTCATGGGAACTCGCAATTCCAGAGAGCCCATGCTCAACGCTGGACGTGAGAGTCTGCCAGTGGAGAGTACCATAACGAAATAGAACACATCATAGTAAATTGGAGGTTTTGCCTAAATGATATCGCTTTTGTCCCAAAATTCTACACGTGATCAGAGCATCGCCTCCTTCGTGCAACATATTTTTCTTGTCGAAAGTATAGGAAATTACTAGAATCAAAAAATGAAGTCCAAAAGCTACAATGACCTTAAATTTATTCAGTTCGTTTGCCTGCTGTTGGGAATATGCCGTTCTTGATAACATCGACGGCAAATAATACAGTAGGCTCATTCAATATCTTCAAGCAAGCTCTGTGAAAGCTGAGAGTTCGAAAGTCACCAGGAGTCTCCAGGAACACTCGAGCTGATACGACGCAAAACAATGCAGACAGATGCAGACAGGCGACAAAAGAAAATCTTAAAGAGAGAAGAGAAGCAGTAATGGTCGAAGTTGCAGAGGCTGGAAAGAGCATTCGCAAAGTCATCGATACTTTGCCAATAGCAAAACCAGGATCACTGCACACTGACGCCCAGACGGAACAGTTACAGCGTCCATAAAGGCAATGGAGAAAATAATTTACGATTACTACTTGGATCGCTTCAGTAACCTCTTGCTTCTCCCCAACCGATATGAATTTTCGTGGGTTAAGGGTCGAACAATACCTAATCCGGATAGGATGAGGCCTGAACACCTGATGAATTTTGCGTCAGTCTTAATCAGAGCGCTGGCTGGGCTTCTCACACCGTGCCTTCCGGAATACTAGGCACACAATCTCTGGAAGACCAGTAAAACTGTGCTATTATTTAAGAAGGGTGACGTTTGAGAGTTCGGAAACTATTCTTCAATCTGCCTGCTGTCAGTTGTTTGCGAACTCCACTCTAGTCATCTTAATCACGATTGACCGAACGTTGGACCAAGAACAGCCATGTGAGCAAGCAAAGTTTCGAAAAAGACTCATCACGACAGAATACGTGCACAAGATACCAAGAATCGCTGAAGTATCGTGAGAGTATAAGAGACCGCTCTGTTTCACTTTCATCGATTTGAAGAAATCTTTTGACTGAATTGTTTAGACTGTTCAGCTTAGACGGGGCTGTAATAAAACTTTTATTCTGCTGAGATTTCGACGTCTTCGCCTTCCTCATGGTCGATGATTGGAGCTGATGGTCCACAGTCGTTCGTACCGTCGATGTCGGGTTTCGTTGCCACATCGAGTAGAATCTTCTTTAGTGGAGCTCTGCTTGAATGAGCAAGCATATCATGCGATGATGTTTCAAACAACACAGCTGTTGACTTCTAATCGACTGATCATGATTTCTTTTCGTATTGACAACTCATCCTGTAGTAGTCGGTACTAGAGTAGCTAGCACACAGCTAAAACTGAATGATCTAAACAACTATATTGGTCATTCAGGCTGAGATTAAATGAAAGTCGGTCTGGTTTACTAGTACTTAGCACTAGTACTTTTACTAGTACTAGATTTCGACTCAGTTGTGATAGAAACAGCCACGGGAGCCCTGGACAGTAAGGGCGTCTTACTCAGTATATAAACATTCTTCGTGAGCTCTGTAAAATACATCAAAAATCTCACTAGTCTATAATAATTTTCACGTGGTTAGAAAAGCTGATGCGATCTGGCCAAAAATATTTACCGCCACTGCCGAGAACGTCATGCGAACATTGGAATGGGAAAACATGGGAGTGAAAGCCGATGAGAGGCTGGCAATTACATTGTCTTCCCTTTGCTGATGAGATCGTTCTTAAGACAGCAAACATTAGTCAAGCGAAATGAACGCTTTCTGACTTTAATAAAGCCTTTGAAAAAATCGGTCTTTGGCAAAATCAAAAAAAGTGTTCAGGCGGATTGCCTTGTTTTCATCTCCGAATGAACCAGCTTCACCAATCTGGATCCGGAAATCAATATGATGAACGACTTAGATCCAAAGTTGAGCGGGACGAAACGAGCGACTTGGGGAGTTTTCAAAAGTATGGAAGATATATGGAAGAGAACAAAGAACACCCAACTCCGTGCCCACCTTTTCGATTCCACGACTCTTCATGCCTTAACATATGTGTCAGAAACCTGGTCACCGTGTAAGTAGAATCAATGGCCACTCAGCGTTATTGCACGCCCAGTCGAAAGGACGATGCTAGGAGTATCCCGTGTTACACAAGTAAGCGAAAGGATCTAAAACTCCATCGTGAACTATGAAACACCAAAGATGCCATTTTATACATCAAAATGTCGATGATAAAGTGGACCAGACACGTAATGCGCATGAGCGACAACCAATGGACAATAGCTGTTCGTGTCTAGGTTTTTCGGGATGTCAAACTTACTGCCGAAGACTACCCACGCGGTGGTCAGAGCTGTTCGCGAAAATGCTAGAAGAAAGTTATGATGCTCGGGGAGTCCTCAGAGCGAGCAGAATCCATTGCGCTACTCATGCACGCGACAAGGAGAAATATAATATTTACTGGCTCCCACTCCGGTCACTCTACGATCAACGGGATCACTAGTGATGTAGATGATACTTCGCCTTAAAAAATAGCATTAAACAATGGTTAAAGGATATGATTTCTACCGGTGCTTCAGCTCAACTGGGTTCAATGTGGATTTGTGCTTCCCAGATCATTTCCGTTGACGAGCGATAACTGATAGGACCGTTAGAGAAAGGAAGTGGTTGAGAGAAGACAAAGCAAAGACCTCGGTTAGTGTAGTGGGTGGAACGTGACCTCTCCGAAACTTAATCACGGGTTCCATGGTCTGGGCTGAGTTCTGCTCATATCTCACCATCCTTATTCTTCTATTCCACATTATACCTTGTAATAGTGAAAAAAAATAAAAAGTAACTAGAAGGCCAGAATATTTCTTATTTCAAACTTTTCTCTAGAACTTGCTTCTGTTGTTATAAGAATTAGAAACCGTGCCTAGTCTTCGACTGAGTTGCCACGTTGCGTAGCACTCGGCTCCATGCTCCAATTGCGTCTCGAACACCGAACTGGTCTCCGATTGTTTCAATTTGTGATGGCCGTTGTCGTGTATTAAATACACCGAAGAACTGTGCGGTCACTGAGTTCAGTAGCACTAGAAGTGCCCAGCACTCGTGCATCTTATTCTGAAACAACAGCAATTGAAGCGAAACTACAGACAGAAGATAGGTATGTAATGCAAAAAGCAGCTTATCTACCGAAGCTATATTGCCGACTAGTGCAGATTCTCACAATGCTGTGGTGTTAGTATGTCTCACATGATGCCTTAAGGAACGTGTTAAAAAAGACAAGAATGAAGATTTTGAGGTGGAAAAAAGAGCAATTTTATAGTTCTACAATTTTGTGTGAAATCAAATCGCGAACTTCAAAAGCTGTAGGTGAACTCGTTCATTTTTTGTTGTTCACATTTTTTACGGAATGGTAGATCACATAAGTTGTTAACGTAAGACATTAGGTGAGACCAGTTAGAAAACCAATTGAAGAAAAATTAATATTTTTCAGCAAAAACAAAAAATTAAAGAAGAAAAAACCGACTTCATCCAAAAATTGGCTGAGATTTGACACAAAATCATGTACAATAGTAAAGCATTCTTCTCATCGATTAGTGATTTGGGTCTTTAGAACTTATCTGGAAATCATTTTAATTTAATTCACTTGTCCTTTTCAGGGGAGCGTGTGGAGCAATGGACGGAGGCGTGCTGCGACACACACATGGGATTGATCCCCTCGCCTGTGGCCCACCAAGCCTCATAACCCTTCGGGGTTGGAAAAATGCTATAGACTTGTTTGAGAGGATAACAGCATTGGTTCAATACATCGTTGGCCAGCCGTGAGTCGTTGTAAAGGCCATATATGCATTCATTCACCTGCAACTGTTGTGCTTAATGAAATCGAATGCATGGTGCATCCCTCAGAGATTGATCAACGTCGAGAGCATTTCGAGCTTTAACCTGTTCTCGGTTTCTGCGAAATTACGCGATTAATTCTAGAGCTAGAATTGTGAGTTTAATACCGAAATTTTCGCTGCAATGAGCGTATGCGTCCTGAGTGGACCATTACATAGGATTTCAAGCTTTCCATTTCGGTGCTCTTTTACACGAACAGAATGAGGTCTAGCTGTTTCGCTGATATATTCTTCTTTGCACGTTTCAAAGTGCCCAAAATATTTAATACCTATAGATAGAACGCTAACAAATTTTTGCGCAGCTTATAGATGGTCACATGGGCGGTTAGGAACTAAATGACTGCGTGAAGAGCCCGATGTTGCAGAATAACTGTAACAGAAAGCCCAGATCTACTAATACTACTTTTAAGTACCTTTGAACTGCGATTCTTATTTCGCTAGAGATGGAATGGAGCTTTCAAAAAGTCTTACCCCAGTTAAAAGTATTATTTTGAGGCAAGGCTTATTTCTTGAATCTAAGCTCACTGGTTGTTGTTTCGTTGGTCCTGAAAATGTCTATTTGTTGTGCTATGTCAAGCTAGTGCTTCCTCTTCTCCCTTCTTTTGCTTACACTTGCAACTATTCGATGTCGTCTTCTCGATGCGTAACGGATCAGAATAAAAGCAATGGGCCAGTATGATTTTCTTCCCTATTTGCAGATAATACCTTGCAACGTAGCCATTTTCTAGAAGGGTTATTTGAACGTTGAAGATTAGAGGTCAGTTCCCTTTAGGTGTTTCTCATGTAAATTTTGTACACGCCAACTGTTTATTGAAATTCGTTATTATTCTTAACATTCAAAAAACCGATTTTCTATAAATCTCGGCATAAATAATCCATATATTGACCTATATTTTTTTATGACCTGACCTTATTAAGCCGATGCGAGGCTGGTATAAGTTGCCGTTGTCGTTTCGCCTTCCTCAGAACCGTGATGTTGCGAGTGAGACTACACGTGTTGTTCACCTGAGACGACGAGTAATGTTCTTGGACTCGTCTTCACAACTCTTGTGCCGATCCCAGCACTTCCTGCGTCCGATTCGTTTTGCTTGTTCTTTTCTATGAATGTCGTTGAATTCTGGTCGAGTCGACTCTGTATAGGGTCCTTAGACAGCCGGGCCAACGCGTGAACATTTGGATTACAGGAAGTTCACTGTTTCCAAACAAAACTGATACCATTTCCTCGACTGCTGAAGGATGAGAGGTTTGGTGAACCAGGAGAGGGGTCGAAGCAGTATCTCTTGATGAACTGCACCCCGACTACTGCTCCACTCTCTTACGGTTCATTTAAACAGTAAAAATAATACTGCTGTTTATGCTGGTGGTTTTGCGTCAATCGCTTATAATCGCTTGAAATTAAACCAATCACCAGCTGTGTAGGTGGACTAAACTTCAAGCTTATATAGCTTCCATATCTCATCTTCACCTACTATTTGGCTTCAGACCAAACCATTTTCCTAACATCAGTATTTTCCTAGACCACCTACCTACATTCAACGTGATCAAGCTTCGCATATATAATACAACAATTCGATGCAACACAACTTTCCATAAAAGTGTCGAATGGCTCCGCAATGCTAACACCTTCGAAATTTCTTAAAAGATGAAGAGAAAATAAATATGCATGGTTTGTTGAGCCAACAGCTCTCAATCGTCACTCGCTAAGAAAAGAGTTCTAGCTATTCAACCGAGAAGACGAATGCCAGATTATCACATCAGACTTCTTACCTTATCTCAAATTTTTTTTTGTTTTTGCATAACTTTTAGTTTTTATCCGGACCCATGTATAACTTTTAGTTTTTATCCGGATTTTATCCAAACAACATACTGGTGGGCATCTCATTACTTAGAACGCCAAAACGGTTAGTGCTGTCTACAATGTTTGATAATTTACCTGTTAACTTTTCATTAAGACTGCCAAACAGTGGACCCATCAAGGTTACACATACAGTAATCCGTCGTTCAACAAAGGCAACCTCACCGGAATCTTAGTCATTAAAAAAATGTATAGTTCATCCTCCTCTCGTCACACTTGTAAATTCGAAAAACCAAAGAGATTTATTCATTCATTCTAATTTAAAGCGAAACTTTATAACGGTTGGAGAACGGTAGAGTAGTGTTGAAGTAGCAATGCAGCAGGAATTTTACACACTTTGATTTTGGTTGTCATCTTCTTTCCTCATGATTAAAGTGTTCTGTTCTACGTATTATGTGAACACGAGCGAATTTCTTCCATTTTTTTATTTAGAGCTTATCTAGACAACACCAAAGGCAAAACTTCAAATTTTTGGGTACTCCTCTATACTCCAACTCTGCATGGAACGAATATCAAATGGACTACGAAAATTTTCACAGATTATTACGAAATTTTTAAGCATCGCAACGTTCCATTTAGTAAATCCCAGTCGAATTCACCTTTCCTGCAACCTAGGAACTCATAACCGTGGGTTAACGTCTAACGCTACTCACTTTTCAATCTCTACAGATATTTTCAATAATCTTAAGGTTATACCAGTTGTTTTATCGGCAGTTAAACTGGAGAATATGGAATATATTATTTCTCGAATACCCACTTGGAAACAGAAACTGAAGAGCTTAAAAGATTTAGTGTTCCTTGGAGATTAATAAAGCGAAAAAATAGATGCGAAGCCGTGGAATTTCTGCTTAAGAAAAGCACTACGTTTAGCTATTTTGGATAATAGCGTTCGTAAATGGCTACCCTTTCGAAAAGACCCAGGCATTTGGCATTACGTAGCTTCCAATTCTCAGCGTTATACTTTGAATTATCGAAATAAGATCATTCAGTATATTTCGAAAATGATGAGATTCAATGTCTCAACATTGTACAAGTACTGTTGATAATAGCAGAAGGCATTTAGGATCAGCTGTTTATGCATGTGCTATACACGACCGCCACTTAGACTATAGGAAATTGTAAGCGGCGTAGAATGAAAAAAAGCTTAGGTTCTGGAAATATGCACGATTTTTAATGGGGAAAAGGAGCATGGAAGTAAAAAGGAGGGCGATAAAGCGAGAAAAACAAAAATCACTAATTCGGCATGAAAAAAACAAATGGCGTTGTGTTTGAGAAAATGTAAGCATGTAGCAAAAGACCACGCAACATGTCAGTGGCCAACAGGATGTAGAAAATGGTTCAATATGGGTAGAATGGGTTGCTCTAAGTCACCATATGAGTTACGTTGTCTAACGGTACAATAATAATTCGATGTTGGAAGAAAGTGATAGCGGTCTGGTGAGAAGAAATGAGGTCGCGGTGAAAACGAAAGACTGAGAAATACCGATTCTATTCATCCGTACAACGGAGAACCGTCGAACCAAAAGGAAAGTGGCGCCGTCGCTGACCTTCCTCGTCCTAATCGCTATTAATGGTTCACTAGACCACCACAGTGAGGATTCCGACAAGTCAGCAAAACGATCCGACAACGCTTACAAAAAATGATCTCAAACGATTGTGACTAATCGCTGCTATTACAAATCAGAACAATGATGCTGAAAAGTACAAAAACAAATTGTATTGGCCGAGCAGCTTACTTTTTATCAAAAATATTGGTACTAATTTGTATACTTAAGCCTTGAGTGCAGTACATAATATGCACTGTTAATTAATAAGCGAAGAACTCGATAACAATTAGGTAAGAAGGAAATTTGAACTGTAGCATAGAAGCTGATTTCTAAAAAACAGTAACATTATACACCACAGAGTTACGAAAAATTGATATTCACCCAACAATGGCAGCAGTATCAAGTAGATGCCTTTTTCAAGCCTTTAAAAAGGTGCTAACTGGCGGTGAGGAAGATCCAGCGAACGATTTTTATTAATGTAAAATGAAATTATGGATGAGTTCCTCACGAAGCCCCTGCAGCGATGCGACTATTCCAGTTACCCTTTGTTTAATTGCAGCGTTCACTATTAGGTATTTAAGGCATAGAGCTAGCCTAGTAGGAAAATGAACCACTTAAAACACAGCACATAATGGAAGGTGAAGAAAATAGTTTTTCCGTAACTGGAGACCTTGAGAATTTGGGATGTGACGATATCACAGAGGAGGTTTTGCTTTATCGATCTAGGCGTGCAAGCCGAAGGAAAAGACGTCCGGCATAAATCACCTTTAGATATTATTTGGTATTTACTATATATTACTACGATCTACCATCCAACGATGTTGTTGACAAGAAGTGTTTTACAAATCACAACTGAAATGGAAAGCCAGGGAATTAGCTGTGAATATCTGAAATTCATTTGCCTCGCATATTTGACTATACTGGCTTTCTCAATTACTCTTTTTGTTGCAACTTTTCGGCAAGCACAAGGTTGTGGTGATAAGGCATAACAACTGTTTAAAAAAACAAACGATGTTTGAATAACAGTGATGAATGCACACTCTATGAAAACCAAACCACTGAAAAGAGATTTCGGTAATGTATAATTTTATCGAAAAAAACTTGATACTTACTTACTTGAATGGCCCGTCATCACTAGTTGTGCGCGCCCCAGCGTAATCACCATTTTTCCGAGATTTGGTGGCTAAGCCATTGGGGCTCCCTGAAATCCCGAGGACAACCTGGCCAAAGTCTGCCCCAGTCCGTCACCACGACAGGCAGTAGCAGCCCTTGTGGATCAGAGAAAAATTTACCACTACGCGACATTGATACCAAGACGGTGGTGAGTCCTGGTATTAGTTTACTCTTAGCTAGGCTTCCTGATGGAAACGCCGAACTCCTCAGCTTGTGAGACCCTGCCGGGAGGACGAATCCCTCTGCTGTACATCGCAGTCCGACACCCAGGAACACCTCCCAGTCACGATGAGGCGTTAAGCCGTTGGGAGGGTCGAAAGGAAAAGATTTTCCAATGTGCGTAACTTCGGTGTTTACGTTCTACCGTTCTTGGGTGCCCTTTACAGGCAACTTCGTCGTGGTGCGCACTCTCTGCAGCAGCAGCAGTCTCATGGCGCAAAATGAAGTCATTCGAGAAAAGATTTCTCGGAAATTATTGACTATGGAGAAAAACTTTTCCAGCCGACACCTGATGTAGCATCTAGTTTGAACGAGTTATGAGTTTAAAAAAATGCGATAACAATGCTCTTCTTAGCTAGATAAACAACTGAGAAATAAATGGATTGGCTGCAATGCACTGCGTTTACTTTGCCCAAGCCAACGCACGCAATGCAACACTGCTTCTTGGAAGCTACGCGCTAGTGTTAGCTGCTTCCAAAGCGTTGTTTCCTATTTTGTGACTAGGTCGAGTTCTTTTTTGAAACAACGTCAAGGTTTTAGGCACCCAATTCCTTGTTCAGCATTAATTTTTCTAATAAAATAGGAAAACCTTGTTTTTCTATGGCCACATTTGTTTGATTGATCATGAAACGGATCACAAAGGAGCAGACAATTGAAAAAACATCTAAACCTTTTCCTCTTTTTCACGTTCTTTTGTAGTTAGCACCTACCTGCTGAATGCCTGTGAGCAGTTGTAACTTCCATGGCCGACTTTCTATTAACCTCGGCATCGATCAAACGCTCGAACTTTTAGAGGCTTTTTGAATAAATACGAGGAACCTTAAAATGAACAGCAGGGAGGAATGCCAGATGATCACACGTGATCTCGCCTCGTGCCTTCGCATCGACTTTTGATGTGGAGTGGTGCCTTGATCGGCCACATGCGACTCTGATCAGTTGTTCTTCCTCAGTGGAAGGCATGTAATAAACGGTGAGTTTTTCAAGAAGCTGTTGATCGTGTGATTGCGATTTAGATTTTTATTTTTCTCTATGTGTTATTGGAGCGTTTGGCATAGCAAATTGCCTATTAATATACCCTTCCAGGCTCAGAGGAAGGCCATACTGCCGAACGTCAGCTTTAACAGAATGAAGAATAAAGAAACACCTAGTGTTTTCTCAGCAGGAATACCGAGAACTATTGAGAAGCTGTTTTAAACGATTAATGAGTCTATTGAATTCCATTTTATCAAAAGATTTCGTCAGCTCAATGAAAGTGATGAATCTCTAGAATCAGAAGAAGTGTACGAAAGAAATCGAAGAGAGTTTTGCTAAATTCCTACCTGACTAACGGTAAAAGTCGACATTACATTAAGGCGGCCGTCTTTCGTTGATCGACAGTGAACTGCGGTCATGTTATCAAAGAATTCGCTACAAATTGTGTTTAAATTTCTTCATGGGTTCAATCTCACCTTGTCAGTAGAATATAAAAAGAAACGATGGGAAACCATACAATGGCTTGGGCACTGAGAAGTGATTGTTTTTCCACTTCTAATCAACAGAAATCTTTGTTACTATGACCTTAAAACTTTGCGAATGTTGCTAACAATAAAGATAAAAAGAAAAAGCGTTTAGGGTCGATCCATCCCTGAACGATCCGTCATGTGTTTACCTTCACCAAGCGTCGTTAGAAGTGACTGAATGAATTACTGGCTTGCACAGTGCATTTTGCAGTGGCTTGCCAACGTTTTGTGTTCACAAACAGGAATGGTGCTAATTTGGCGAATGAAGAGGATATGGTGTACACTGGGTGGTGGATTGAAGCAGCGAGTGGCACTGTGTGTTGTACATCTTCAAGTAATGCGCTACACATGTGCTTTTTAGCAGGAGTACATCGGACAGTATGTTAAGAAAGCATCGAGAGACATGGTTAAAATTTTCTCTGTCACATTTTTTAAAGCTACCTAAGCAATCTTTGGTGTTGAATTTCAAGTTCTTCGTCATAGATGAACGCTTAATAAAGTTTTTAAATCAATTCTTAGCGACAATATCGAAAAGATGACTGTTAACAGAATTTTTTTTGATGCGCTTAGTAGGAATAGTTTAGTAAATTCTTCCTTACCGAACTTTTATGTGTACTACAGAACCCATATGGCTTATTTCTTAATTAATTTTAAACATTAGAATCAATCTATACAACGTGTTGAGATAGTTCTCAGAATTAAAATTGAGAAATTTTAAGCTAAAAACTTTTCGGACAATGTTGTCCAGTCTCCAGTTACTTCATCGTGCTGTAGTTGTGCCCTGTTATTTATGTCATATTTTTTGCCGCATTTGAAATAGTAATATAAAAAAGAAGAAAAATGTCGTTAAAAAGTTCGAGTAAAGTTTCGAACACAATGGCAGTTTCTTTTCCTTAAATAGTTACTTCAATCGCTGTATTCAAATTCAAGGGCGCTCCAAATACGCTATGGGATTCAATTGGGAAAAAGCGAAATTCTTCTTAAGAACACATTCACGAAACTAAATACACATACTGACCATACAGTTTCATGAACAAATACAATACAGAAATAAAAGGGATAAAAACACAAGTTACACAGCAATTCAAGTAAAAAAAAAATCCCAGAAACATGGTGAGAAGTCAACGCCATAAAACTCATATGACACAAGGAAAAGTCTTTTTTTGAAACAAACTATACTGTGATCACTGGACTTGCGGACTCTTCTGAGATATCCAAAGACGTTATTGGTTCCTGCATCAAGGAAATCTCCTTCACCATAGGCAAGTCCTTCTTCTTGCGCAATAAGTTTCTTTCTTTCACCTAAATCAGGAAGATTTCATCCAGTCTCATGACTGACTTCGGTCTTCCGAGTCGTCAGCCTTTCCGGCCACTGCACTGCATTCTACATAGGAGAACGCAAAATTTTCAAAAAAAAAAAGGCGATTGGAAATGGACAACGTCAGAATTGCTCTAGAAACGTGAAAAAATATGTAAACGGTTTCAGAACAAGTAAACAACTATCGATGAGATTCACCTTATATTCAAGGGTGGAGTGTGGTACGCCATAATAACTCCCAGCTCTGTGAACACTCATTTCGCCACGACGAACGCTCCGAACAGCCTCGTCGAGAGCGTTTTTATCGTATTTTCTAAAAAAAGAACAGATTTAAAAGATCGTTCGCTTACCTTGCTGTTTTTAACGAAAAAGTCATACATGGGTATTAAGAGGGATCGATATAGTACCTTCAAGATTTGCGTCCGTAATAAAGTATTTCTCAGTTCTCCCTATCTAGCATTATTATTACTGACTTCTTTATAAATTCTTAACCGAAAAATGATAGAAAAAATAGGTATAGTACGGCAGATGATGCTAGAATTTAGCATAAGTCTCAAAATAGAATAATTTCTTCCACAGTGTGAAGGAAGTTGCTTTGAAATTTTCATGTTAAGTTTTCAAAGTGATAAATATCAAATGGATAGTGTTCACTCACACAATAATCAAAACTAACAGTTGTCACCTTTACTTTTATCACCCACGGAAACCAAAACAGGCAGAGACGACAATGGAATGGCAAACATTTAAGAGAGTTAAACTTCAGCAGCAGAACACTTTCGGATGAGCGAGTTTTCTCTGTTTGGTTATGGAGGTGTTTGGCCGAGTGGATTGCTGTCAACTTGACCCTTCCAGGCTCTGAGGGTCCGCCGAAACGTCAGCTTGTGCGTAAATAAAGAAATAAAATAGCACCTCGTGCTTGCTGAACAGAAGTAGAAAGATACTTTCGGATGATTTCAACGTCATAAACAACTATAGCGACTAGTTCGCTCTTTGCTGGTTTTCTTAAAGACTGTGGAAAGCCTGTTCAAGAAAGCAAGATGCATCCACGTGATTTTTTCTAACGCTAGGACTTTTTCTAGTCGACCACCACAGGCATTTTCCACGCCATGTGGATAAGGGGTGCTTGCCATCCTGCGACTAGGCTTTTTAGGAATGATAATACCGAAATTCTCATAGCTTAGGAGACCTTGTAGAGGGATCCACCATATATAAAACAAACTGGCTTGCGATCGGTGTATATGAAGCACCGTTTAGTGGGTTGTGTTCAAGACATTTCCACTGATCCGAATTCCAACAATCAAACAGCACTGTGAGAACATCTAGTTTTAAAAGAACAAGCTCGATTTTGTTGGTAAAGTGGACTCATGGGACTCGCTTCGAGTTCAACTGCCTGACATCCTTCGACCCACCATGAAGCTGTGCTGTTTTATTGATAGCTTCTTCAACAATGGCCAGATTTTTTAGCCAGTGTTCATGTTTCCCGCAGTGCTACGAACGCCTTAGGAGAAAAAAATCTAAAGAGTAAATAAAACAGAAAAGTAAGTATTAAAGTAATAACTGTACTAAAATCTGTAGTTTATGGAGTGTTTGCATGCTAATGAACTGCCCATGGTAGGTATAGACGGTCTCAATAAACTAAATGCAATTGACCGCATGATGATCTCACCTGTACTGACCCCGTTTGGGTCGACTTTTCTTCCATTCGGACAGGTCTTCCTTCTTACACTCGTCCTTCGACTCTGACTTCATAATATCAGTCGCAATACTTGCCTAAGACAGTATATTTAAAGATGTTTCGCAACAAAACAAAACGTCTACTGTTAAACGAACTTTGCTTTGACTGAATAGACTCTGCCACAAGTTCGTTGTCCACTCACTATCCAAGCGAGTTTCTGCACCGTCCGCCTTCTGCAACAGCTGTCTATTTATTAATATGTTTAAAAAGAAACGCCAATGAAAATCTCACCTCTTCTTCAGTCCCTTCACTGCTTGGCGAGATCGACGAATTATCAGTGATCGGAGTTGATGTTCTGAAATCCAACATCACTTTGATGTTCTCCATGACGTCGGATCTAGTGGCAGTTTACCACTACCATAATTCACGCAGAAATGTCTTTATTTTCCAAGACAGTGATTGTTTCCATTTTGCAACTTCTTTGAAGACCGCGGTGTATTACTCTAATTTCATAATTGTAATTATTTCGTGAGCCTCCCAGATGAATTCTAACTAGTATGTTCGAAATTTGTTAAAGAAATCCTGGATTTAAAACAAATTTCTGTAAGGCTTAATTGTTTCTTGAATTAAATCGCTACAAACTTTTTCTGCCGTTCCACTTGCTCTGCTAACTTCTTTTCGGCACTGCTTTGACCACCAGGCCGCCTCCTCTTGTTGATCGGTGCCTGACCAGCTTGCTCTTCGGCGGCTTCCAGCTTATAAATTTTGTTCCTGAGTGTTGAGCGAGGAATGCCGTAGACCACAGAAGCTCTAAATTTTTTGGATTAAAGGACTTCAGCTGCACACAAAAATACAAACCGATATTATCTTCTAGGTGAAGCAATACCTCCAAGAAATTCTAAAAATTAGATAAAAGGAGAAAATTTTATTAAAAAGAAGGTAGTGGTAGTGAAAGCAATTTATATTGAAGAACTATAGAGGTAGTACAAAACTGCCTTACTGTTTCATAGGTGAAAACTTACCGCCGGGTACCCAGTCGTCCGCACCGTATATCATTAACAGCTGCCGTTAAGTCAATTTGACTGTAATTGCGTTTCATACCGTACCCGTTCCTCATTATTCCTTCTTGTCTGAAAAAATAAAGGGTGGGATCCGTCATAATAGTCCAATCTAGAGGAAGAAGAAGACTCGTTCTTTTACGGAATGATTAAGCAACTTTTTACTCCCACTGACCCAGTTGCCTCTTTTTCAATGGGCTGTAATGATGGTTGATGGTGCTGACTTTGTTTTCGCTGCTTCTGACTATACGTTGCGCTTTCAATATCGATAATCGCTTCCAATCCCTAAATGCGTTGATATATGACCGCAATGGTGAACATGCCCAAATATATGAGATCTAACCGATTTTCTGCTCAAATCGAGCGGTTGCTCATCACGAGAGCGAGCTTCAGTTGAAATCTCGCTGTCGGGCTTAGGCGGTGCTCGAAAATGGGGCAAAGTGTAAGGTGGCGGAGCTTGGACGTTCCAGAAGGCCCCTCCAAAAAACGGATTCGCCACCGCCAATTCTACAAAAAAAGTAATTAGACGCATAGAAAGATTTTCTTCAAAAAAGAATGCTTTCTAGTGAGCACTAAACACGAAGAATTTTACATAGATGTTGTAGCTGCTATAGTCGTTTAAGTAGTTCACATTTATCCAGTTCTCCATTTTCACAAGTTTTCACGAAGAAACTGTGGTAACATTATGTGTGCACGTGAAGTAAAAAGTTCATATTAATTTATGACAAAGTTAAGCGTTTTTCGTCAGCATACATGTATTCTTTATTTCAGGAGAAATTGGAGATCGGAACAAAATAATGTCATATCTTTCGAGCAAAAAGCTATTCAAGTACGGTTGGTACAATTCGAACTCACGATTCTCGAGCAGGACCCGATGTATATCAGGAGATAAGTTTTGCGTCATACCAATAAAGCCAAGCATGTGCATCTGAGACATCATTTCGACTGAAAAACTCATAAACTAGATGGCACAAATTGCTAAAGCCACAGTATCCCTAAGAACATAAAGAAGAAAAGCTTTGTTACATGGAAAAACGCTAAAACGCAATATGCGTCATGAATCATCTTGGCGCTTCATCTGATGTCGCACCATGTTTATTCTAGTTGCGACCCATACAGGAGATGTGGACCGGCATCAAAACGTTATTTAATGCCACACGGTGGATGAGTGTTGAAATTCACACCAAGGTGTCTAATAACAACAGAACCACGTCGAAGTGCAATCAGCGCATCCCTCGTCCGAAATGGAATATTTTCATAACATTTGCTGCACAGTCGTGGGAACCCCAGCGAAGCTGGCTCACCATTCCTCTCTTCAGTGTTGCTAGTCATGACATAGTTTTCATCTCTAAAGTTGTTTGCTGCTTCAAATAGGTATTCAGCAAATTTTATAAGCTGAATACTCTGATTTAGAATAAGTACAAGGTTTAGTTAAGATGTCAAACTTCTACACCAATTATGTTGTTTATTGGAACTGTTGGAACCTCGGTAATGTTGCATAAGCACTCTGCTGCAGTTTAACGAGAAATGTGGATAAATTATTCCAAGAACAGTTTATTTGTTTTTGGTAAATGACCTGCATGGAAGTTTAAATTAAGTAAATGTTATCTATTAAATCAGCTACAGCGTTTGGCATTATTCCACACTGATGGTTTGGAACAAATGTTGGAAAACTTGACACTCAGAAAAGGCTTACAAAAGGGTTTTTTGAAGATATTAGAAGAAATAGGTAAATCATGAGATTAACACCAATTTCATCATTCCACAGTAGCCGAGGTAAAGACTAGAACTCCACGCTAAAAGGATTATCGCTTTATAGGACAGTAGCACACAGCTATCTCTTATGCCTAAATATGAACGAATGAAGAAATGGCCTTTATTAACACGAAAAACAAGTGGCTAGGAATTGGTTGACCTTATGGATGTTTTAGGACATCCTGTGAATGATATGAGACAGGAAGTGATAAGCTGGTACCAAAGAGTTCAATACTAGAGGAGCCGTATAGCCGTGTAGAGAATGAATGTGGAAGTCCTATGAATGGTTTCGTTCTATTGATGCAGTCGACCGGGCTTATCGCTAGGTAATCGCAGGCGCATCGCGTTATACGGTAGCGTACAAAAGTGTACGGTGGTTGGACAAATGATGGGTTGATATCTTTTGTTTCTCTCAAATGGAATTTTTGTCCTATTTTTGTCTAATGATTTGTAGATAGCATGCAAACACCGTATAAAAAACAATTCACCTTGTCACTTAAAATAACGAACTAAATTTCCTTTTTCTCTTGACAGAATAGGGGGTTTGTTTGTCGGTCAACCTGCTACACTACTGTCCTTCTTACTCATACTACTTGAGTACTAGCTGAATACATCAATAAGGCATGTAAAATATGTAATAAATAAGCTTCCTGGACTGTATACTTAAAAGGAAAGTCTAAAGGTGAAAATTGCACGAACATCTAAAATCTATTGAACTGCTCCGAAATACAAGTATGGATTTGTGCTGCATTTATAGAAGCAATCTGCTTAAGCGAAGGGCTTTAACAAATAGACCGATTATAATGCGCTTTACTCATCATATCTATCCACTTCAACTTGGTGTAGAACATAATATTTATTTCTATGAAACAAATATGTGACATATTAGAGTTGTCAGCACAAACCACGCTGAACGATTTTATTTGCACACCTAGACTACAGAATTTACTGTTTTCCAAAAAACGACAAACTAACATTGCTGAGCGGCTTGTATTCGCATTATCGCTTCACGAGTTCTCTCATAGAAATTCGTCATGTTGAGCACATTTGCATCGGTTGAGGTCAAGGTTGACATAACAGCATGTGTTGCATGAGGTGATGTCGATGGTGAATCCGATGAGCACACACCAGATGCGGAGTCACTCATTGAGGACTAAAAGTGGATATGAACCACCCTAAGATTCCCTCATGATGTTATTATAACATTATCATAGAACGACTGATTACCGATCGAAACATCCTAATGGGACAGATAAGTTCTGTCGCTTAAAAAAATAGTTCATCGGTTAGCGGTGATAACACACTTCTCAGTTGCCATGCGCCGACTAACTAACACCAAAGGATGTTTAAAACTTGGCCTAGCGTGGAAAAGCGACTAAAACAATATGAAGTCACGAAACAAGTTCATGTTGAGCAGACAATTTAAAAAATAAGAACTTGTTGGCCAGGGCAAGTTTTTGCCTTTGTACAAAATTGTGACTGCATGTGAAACTAATTATATAAGAAAACGCATAAGTTTCGAAGATATTCTTACATTATTATCGATTATATCTGCGATGAGGGGCTCTCTTTGATGATCGCACAGTAGGCACAACTCGCTAGGCACAAAATCAACTGGATCAGACTCTGGAAAAAATGCAGATAATTCTTGAAAAATACAAAAAACCATGAGTCGTTTATAACTGACGAAAACAACGGTATCATGATTTGACATATTCGCGTAAGTAATAGAATGTGCTATTTGAGTTCAGTTAAAGTTCTAGATAAAAATCTTAAAATTTTTCACAAGACAAAACTAAAAAGATATTAAATGTGTTTCCAGACTGCTTCCATTTTTTGCTAAAAAATCAAGACTAAAAATTGCTAAGATTTGTTGGGAAACATTTACGATAAACCACTAAAAAGATAAAAGAGAAATCGAGGCGAGAGGTGCCAGTTTCAGTGATAAAACACGATGTCTCTGAATAAGATCTATTAAAAAGGTGAAATAAACTTAGCGAAGATATTGGCACAATGGAATTGGTCGTTAAAAATTGTGCCAAAAGGCAACTGATCCCGTCTGTGACGACTCAACTAATTGGCGACGATTACTGTACTTTTGGCGAATTTTTTAGGTCAAACGACTAGAACGGTCAGCTAGCTCCACTACTAGAATCAGCCACTTCATCTTAACTATTAAGTCTGACTGTCTTTAAGAGCTATAAAGTGGATAAGATTCATTGGTTGCAGAATCTTGTCAAATTTTTCAGAAACTTCAAAACTGAAAAAACAACTTGAGATGATTCTCACTGTTTCACTGTCTTTTATTTTTATTGCGCATAAACTTAGTAAGCACATTTTAGTTGTAGATTTATACCAGTTGAATAAGTCTTGTTGTTTTCATTATCAACCTTGTTCGTTAAGGCACAACGAAGATGTCGGACAGATTGCTTCCCAAGTAGCTTTCCCCACTAAGTGGCTGACGATGTTTTCGATACCTAAAATATAAGACGAGTACGAACAAAATTATTTTTCACTTCCTGTTTGTATGCAATATGTGCAACACAGCATTACAATTTTAATGAATAGACTAAAATCAGATCCACTGAATTCTGTGGTCCAACTTGATAATGATAACTCCATCCTTTAGTAGGATTTCAACGTGCAAGATGTTAAACGAATCGCTGAAGAAAAAGCCTGCTTATCGCTCGTTCTCGACTTCTCTTTCACGCTTTCTCCGTATAATAATCATTAATTTTAATTGAGGCCCCTCGAAATCGTCGTGCTATCTTCCTGGGCCTCCATTTAATTAGCGGCAGCCCAGATAATTGCCCGAAATTGCCCACAAATGCACAGTTTCTGTGTCAAGTGGGAAGTTAGAAATGAAACGTAAACAGATGCTGCCTACAACGGCAAGCAGTTTGGTCTTCTTCAGTGCAGTTCAGTGCCGTTCACGTTCTCAACATAACACTTTAAATAGGAACCTGCTATTCAATCGATTCCGTAGCTGTATTACAGTATCTCATAAATCTGCTTGAAATCGGCCACGTTTCATTATCTGCGAGTCAGCCACAGTGTCGAAATTGTCAACAATACAATTTCTTTTCAAAGAACTCACGTTTCCAGTTAGCAAGTCGATAATTAAATCAAGAAGAGTACGGCTTGCTTCCCGAAATGTGTATATAAAGGAGCTAACCCTCACTATAACGACTTCTTCAAGCAACTTTTTAAGTAATTTATTTGTAAAATCAAACCGTCTTAATTGGAGGATGCACTAACTGAAAGTAAGAATGAAGAAAATTGGAATGACATAGGTAGGTGAGGATGGATACATAACTTAGGACGTAGTCCCACCCTAGAGGGTTTTAGTTATGCCCATATTCAGAGATATCTATCCAGGATTCGGATGCTAATTTGAAGAGAGGCGCATAGTGGTGAATAATGGATGAATGGCAGCTTTCTCGTCGTGTTCCTTAATAAGACTACGCTAAAACACAAAATCTTTATTACTTTTTAGAGCGAGGTAATCATGTTTTTCATACCCATAAGTGATTCATTATGTTGACATTAAACCGACTTGGGTATGGTTACACAAGTCAGCAGTTATCAGCCGAGAACACAACATCTTTTATGGTTAGCGGAGCTGATCTATTGTAATCCCTCAATTAAGCAGGCCACCTTATAATACTAGGGAATCAATCTCTCGTGAAACCCAGAGGAACACGAAATTGAGCGACATCGGCAGTAATTGGTTGAGAAATTTCGCACGCTTCAATCTGGGTTATGTATCAGGAGGAAACATCTACAAGACCTTAACAACTAAGTATTGACGAAAAATACTTATGAACAAACTGTTAAATTCGATTGGACCTATCGCCATTGCTTACACCTAAGCTTCCATGTATAATATAATAGAAGATTAGGGATTACTGAAACAGGATGCTAATTGTCATCATATTATTAATTGTTTGCCCCCACTTCGACGAGAAATCAAGCCTTCTGTCCTTCGCGTTTTTCGCTTTCGGCTTGGCATTGAAGTGCGCGACACTAACTTTCACTTTGGCCACGCAAGTTCATTGTACAGAGCAAGTCAACACTTATTGCCACGGCTAATTTCTACATGGGACACAAATTATGCCGATTCATCTCACTGACATTGACCAACGCCATGAACTTTATAACATAATATGTACTATTTATTTTGGGATAGCACTATCCTCATTTTGTTCTCGAGAAGCGCTTTAGAAAATAGCTAATTTATACACGTAAATCACAGCGGATTTCCCTAATTTCAATGATGAATATAACAGCATTGAGGTAGACGTCTAGGATGTACTCTACACCATCTTTAGTTGAAAACGATTGCCACTTTCTCCAACCTATTTCGAAAATGTCATCACCTTTGAGAGCACACTTAGCTACTTTCGATTTCTTTTCAGCATATTCTTATATCACAGTGAGAGTGTTCATTTCATAACTGCAATATCCATTTCGCCCTGCTATCGCATGTGATAAGCTCATCGGTCCCCGTCCATTCTATTTGCTGCTGCCACCCAATCAGCGCCGAATTCAACCGAATCATGACTATGACCGGACTATACCGTAGAATCTCAGCACCGGCGCTCGGTTTCCCGGGGCAACCGCACACTACGGCGCCCGTGGAGTCAAAAACAGTGCTCCTTCCTCTCTTTTCACTCCATTCTTTCTCACTAAATACGCCAGCCAGATGCATGTGTCTATAGTTATGTATGGGCGCATTTCGGTGTTCGGTCGTCCGAACTTCATCTGCGTCAACGTTGTCACTTAATCAACACGAAGTGAATAATAGTGCACCAAATTCATACGTCTAAGACGATCATTACACCGTATATGGTGGGTACAGTACCTCAGATACATAACTCAAGTTATTATCGAGATTATGCAACAGATTTAAATAACTAAATATCTATGCACCTTTCTTTTAGAAAAAAAATAACAGCTCGTCACTATCAGTGGATAGTTAGATAGTAAGTAAGAGGCCAATTATTTATTCTAGACTAAGGATCAGAATTTCTTAAAAGGGTGACTGGCTTTTTAGTTAAAGTTAATTCCATCTTTGTGCTCATAATAGAAATCTATTTTTCGTAAAATTACGTCGCCGACAACGAGAAACACACAATATTTCTCCTGAGCAAAGTATCGTTGAAACATTTGAAAGAAAGATGCTTAAATATGTAATATAAGCCTATGGTTATTCAAAGTCATTAAAAAACTTCATTTCGAGTCTGCACTCCAAAACGCTGGAGTGTTACTGCGGCCGCCTCATGATTTCGCGGGTTATGGTAGGCCCACCCAATCATGTTATTGGAGGAGGGCTCATTTGTCAAGTTTGCACGTCGCTTCCATTCAACACCCAACCACATACCGTTGCACGAAATTCCAATGTCTACATTGAGAAGGTGGAGAAAAAAGTAGGGAAAAACGATCAATGCGGAAACACGATGAAGACAAAGCAGAGAACAAGGGTGAGACGAGATGGGAAAGAAGGGATTTTGAAAGGGAACGAGAGTTTTTGTGTGTGATGTGGAATGTCACCGAAATCCTTGGCAGGTCGCGAATATAGGAATCATCAAAAGATCGGTTTTTATTGACAGTGACTACTACACGCCATATAAATTTAAGTAAAGAAAAGCATGAAATCCCGATTTATCCAAAACATAAATGAAAATGAATGGATAACGACAAAAGTATGGAGAGGAAATTGCCTAACAATTTTGGTAACCGGTGAAATTTACTCGATTTGAGGGCACAGAGAGGAGTAGAGGCCGAGAAAAAGAAACCATGGTAAAGAGATTGAAAGGCTAGGCTGAGCTATAGTGGTTAGTAGAACAAATATTCCCTCTAAGTTGAAGCAAGCGGAGAAATACTAGTGAGGGGCAGGCACCTGGCTGAACAAATTGGTCGTAGCGCGCTCATTAGTGACAGATGATTACTGATATAGAGTCGCGCAGGAAACCTTTCATTATGGGACAGGAGAATTATATCAACATTCAGCATTAGTGGAGGTATCGAGAGATAGCTTTCGTGGGCCCAAATAGTATGGTGGTGCTATTAATAGTTTCGCATAAATCTGAACATTGATATGGAAAGGGATTATGAGTTACAGAAACAATCTCACTCCGAAAGCAT